TCATGCTTTTCACGGTTGATGAAGTTCTGATCCCTGCTCTATATACCACTTTCATTTGGTTTAACCTTATTTCAGTTTATTTCAATTGGCATAGCTGAGGCTAGTGTTCCCGTCGGTTACTCTAGCACAACCTAATGTATTCTCTGACCTGTTTATTGGTTTGTGCATTGTATTTATCCCACCTTGTTATACTAAACTAAACTTACTTTATCCATGTTAAAGTTGTCTGTGACCTATTTCCTGGTGTGTGGTAGTATACTAACACTTAGAAGGAAGCCAAGAAGGCGCTTCTAAGTGCAGCAGTTTCCAGCAATTTATTAGAAGATGCAGTTAAAAACACAAAAGTATGTGATAAACGCAACTCATCATAAATCAGTTCCTGGCAGGGCTCCTGTTAGTGTCTCTCTGCTGGGCAGCAGCTACAGGAGAAGGATGGAGTGCAGAGTTAAGATGGCCACCACTCTTCTGGGACCACTGTGGAATGCATGCAGAGCACATGGAACACACATACCAGAAGTTATGTCAGGAAAGGGGCGGTGATGCATTTCAGAGCATGCGCACTTGCTCCTTTATCAAGACCTGAGCCCGGGATTACAGAGCCTACATAAATAGAATGGATGGGCAGGGGTGACTAAGAGTGCTGGGTGACTCAAGCAATCTGAGTGAACAGTGGCAGCGCATAAATATAAAAATAAATATACAAAAGTACATATTAAAATATGCAGCATTCCTAAAGCAGATGATATTACCACATAATACTATGAGGAAATTGGTAATAATAAAATAAATGAATATTGTCACCAATATTATGACTGCTAAAACCTAGCAATAAGCTACAGTTTGCATATAAAATAATTAACAAATATACTAGTGTGAGGACTGGGAATAATGCTAGTATACTTAGCTATGTGAGTCTAAATATATCTATATATGTAACAATAAGATATTGGTATGGAATAAATATTTTAGGTTGTAGTGAAATGAAATAAAAATAAATAGAAGTAAAAATAAAATAAATATAAGAAAAACATACACATCAAAATAGTAATGCCATAGAGATTCTGATTCATCTTCTTATATGTATATTAATTATGTGTATTTATGCTAGTCCTCATTGGCTATAGAGATTATGTAAATGCAGATCTAATTATAGAGTTAATTTACAGTGCCACTCCAAGCTGGAGATAGGAAAAGGGTCATCCCTCTGGTAGATGAAAAGAGAGAGCAGGTGTCCAGATGTGATTCCAGCATCAGCCAATTCAATGGGGAAATGGACACTGCTCAACCGACCCCAGGAGTCAGATGAAGAGGCATATGTGATCAAGCCCCCGGAATGGCGAGGCAAAACACATCAAAGGGAGTGGCCAGAGTAGTGGCTGAGGCCATCCCATACATCTGACTCCTGGGGTTGGTTGAGTGGTGTCTATTTCCCCATTGAAGATCTACGGGTAGTTATGGTAACCATACCTAGGTTACTCAACCCTTGCATCAGAATGACATATAATACAATAGTTGTTAAAATTATTAAATGGACATCTCCTATATGAAAGCGAAGTGCCTATAAGGTGTAACATGTGATCCTTGGTCATCATAACTGTCAGTGACAGAAGCCCTGCCAGGAATGATTTATGGTGTACCTCTTTTATTACATACTCTTGTAAGTGTTATAAATTTCTGCACTTAGAAGCACCTTCTTACCTTCCTCTTTTCTGTTTGCTTCTACTCTCAGAAGTGCTGCCTCAGTGCTCTCCCCAACTATCATCTGTACGGTTACCATAGATTCACACCTAAGTGTTTTTTGCAGAATTGCAGTACAGTCCATTTAACATGATTTCCTATGGGGCAGGCGTTTTCACCCAGTTCATTTTTTGGAAAGTGTAAGGGACTTTTTTGAACACAAAAAGTTGTGTTCTTGGTTCTATAGACTTCAATGCAGAAAAGCATGTTTTTGTCAAGTTTTTGAGGTGTTTTAAATATGCCTAGCAACAAGAAAAAATAAAAAAAATAACCCCCCCCCCCCCCGCAAAACACATCAAAAATATGGCAAAACACATCAGCAACTCAAAACGCAATGCATAAATGGCTCAAATGCAATTTGCATAGGTGTGAACCTAACCTTACTGGAATTTTCAGTATATGCAGGTCTAATCAGGCAGATGTACCCATTGAACTCTTTCAGATTTTACAACTTAGGCTGTTTTCACACTGATGTGTTTTTGCTGTATTTTATCATGCTAAAAACAATGCAATAAAAACAATTCCCTGTAAATCCTATGGGACTCTTCACACCATTGTGCTGCAGGTGTGGTGTGTTTTGGAAAGTCCTGCATGCTTCATCTTTGTTGCACATTTCAAAACTGCACCACAAATGCAGCTCCTCTTTAAATGAATGGAAAGCGGATAAAAAAATGCATTAATAAATGCACAATGGTTGTGTTTTTAGTGTATTTTCTGAGTCTTCTGTCCATGTTTCAAAAATACATGCTGGGAGTCAGGTACCCAGAAAACGCACCAGAAACACAAAGGAAATGTATCAAAAATTATTATGCATTTTTTCAATGGAACAGTGTAAAAGCAGCCTTCAGGCTGCATTCACACTTGAGTGTTTTGTAGCTTGAAAATCGAAGCTTTAAAATATCTCAAACTTAAAAAATCAATTGTCCTCTATGGTGCCTGTTCACACCTGATCGCGCAAACAGGAACCATAGAGAGCAACTGACTTTTAAAGTTTGAGCGTTTTTTGGAGCTTCGAGCTTCAAGCTACAAAACATTCAAGCTTCGAGCTTCAAGCTACAAAACAAGTGTGAATGCAGCCTAAAGCTGGACAAACATGGGTCAAATTCCAAAAGAATTTTCTTTCGAAAATCTTTTCTAGGAATTTGCGTTTGAATTTTGCACCATTATTGGACCACAAAAACGGCTGATTTTCGTGTGACCATCAAATTTGAGTGATCAGGCATGTCGGAAATTTTTGAAAAACAAACAAATTTCTAATCAATGATGGGAGAATCGTGTAAGAAATATAACTGAAACAGAAACAAGCACAAGCTGTGACCTGGAAAGAAAAGAAAATTCTTGGCCACGAAAAGTATTTTCTGTAATAACATGAGGTGAAATTGAAGGCTTGGTTGGTTGAATTTTGAAATCAATGGTGGCATCATCGGGTTACAAACTGCACAAAATTTCAGGTTTTTTAAAGAAATCGACCCATAATAGCCTGCATAAGTCATACAGGTGTGTGCAACCTTCAAATTATATATAACTAGGTGTGTCAGAGAGATCACAGACTTTTACAGAGTCATGGCAGAACAGAGAACCCATCATAACAAACAGCTTCTGCATGGGTAAGTGCTACATATCTGCTTATGTGCTCCATAGCAAGAACAAATGCTGTTAAAGAGGATCAGTTGTAAACTCCCCAGTTTGGTTAAATTTTTACTGTACCTCCAAATTATTCCTGGCTGTTCTGGCACATAGCTCTTAATTAAATGAAATGCTGCTACAAGACAAGTAATAACTTGACTGTATGGATCTACGTTTAATAGAAACTGAGCTGTCAGCAGTGGAGTGTCTATAATTTATTTGTATAGAGAGATAGGGTTCCATGAAATTGATACACTGAAGGACTACATGGCTGGAATAAAAAAACTTCATGTTCTAGTTTATATTTTATACAAACTGCTGTGAGCAAACTGTGGCGTGGTAATACTCTTTAGAGAGCAGCCTTATAATTGAGTTGCCTCCAGTTGTATTTACTTCAGACAGGATATTAAAGTTAAGAAAAGATAAAATCATTGTGGTGCCAAGGTCTTTATTTGTAAGAATTTTTAGAAAAACATTAGAAAGTGGTTGAAAGAGAAAATTAGTCACCATATTAAGATCAAATTAAATGGACAATGTACTCCTTCACCAGAAGCAAAATTATAATCAATATATTTGACACTAAAAGTGGGACACCAATTAAAGCGGAGCTCAACTCAAAAGGGGAAGTTCCGCTTTAAGGCCTTGTCCCCCGCTCCCCATTAAAGACTGGCACCTTTGGGGAGCGTGGGGGGGTACCTGATTTTGATTCTGCTGTGGCTCCTAGGTGATCGGAAGCAGAAGCTGTCTCCACCCCCCTCTCTCCCTGTAGTCTTCTGAGACTTGTGACAGGTCCCAGAAGATTATGGGACCATTCACAAGGTGCAGCATTACTCGAGCATGCACAGTGAGCAACCAGGTGTGAAACTGCAAGCTGTCACAGCCGGGTGCCCACACTTAGGATGCCAGCACAGAGGAGAGACAACAGCTCACAAAATTGGCTGTGGTGAGGACACCGCTGTATCGTGGGGTAGGTGAGTGTCTGTTTTTTTTTAAATCAGTAACTACAGTTTTTGTAGCTGCTGACTTTTATTTATTTACATTTTGACTGGAGCTCTGCTTCAAGAAGCTAGCTGTGGGAGTACTGTATATACCAAAGAGGAATGCAGGCAATTTTTTAGGGCAGTAACAATGGCAGTATTAACCACTAGCCTACAGGGCACTTATACCCCCTTCCTTCCCAGGCTACTTTCCAGCTTTCAGCGCTGTTGCACTTTGAATGACAATTGCGCGGTCATGCAACACTGTACCCATATGACATTTTTATAATTTCCTTGTGACAGATAGAGCTTTATTTTGGTGGTATTTAATAACCTCTGGGTTTTTTATTTTTTCTTAAACCAAAAACCACTGAAAATTTTGAAAAAAAAAAGTTTTTTCTTTGTTTTTGTTATACAATTTTGTAAATAAGTGATTTTTCTCCTTCACTGATGTGTGCTAATGAGGCTGCACTGATAGACACTGATAGGTGACACTGATGGGCACTGATGAGGCACTGGTAGGTGGCACTGATGGGCATTGACAGGCATCACTGATGGGCACTGAAAGGCAGAATTCATGTATGGATAGGCACACTGACTGGCACTGATAGGTGGCACTGACTGGTACTGTTAGGTGGCACTGACTGGCACTGATAGGTGGCACTGATAGGCCGCACTGACTGGCACTGGTGGGTGGCACTGATTGACAGCACTGATAGGCAGCACTGATAGGTGGCACTGATGGGTGACACTGAAAGGCAGCTCAGATGGGCACTGATATGTGGCACTAAAATGTGGCACTGATGTGGCACTGGCAGGTGGCATGGATGAGCACTGAGAGCTGGCACTGGACACTGACAGGTAGCGCTGCTGGGGCTACACAGATCATCAGGGCACACTGATCATCAGTGCTCTGGTGATCTGTGTACATGTCCCCTCCGAGGAATGCCGATTACCGGCTCTCCTCTCCTCACGAGCCATCAGCGCGACAGCCTGTAAGGAGAGAAATGCCTATAACCGGCATTTCCCTGTTTACATGTGATCAGCTGTGATTGGACACAGCTGATCACATGACCGAGTCGACATCTTCGGCTCTTTCAATGGATCGGTGATCCGCTGTGTCTGAGGGACAAAGCGCACCACCAATCACCGCACTGCGCACTCAGAACGAGAGAACCGCCTTGCAGCCATCATTTTACTATATGGGGGGCAGGGTGTGGTTAAAGCTTAAGACATTAACTTTTTTTTCTTTGCTTGATCACCAACAGAAATCTATGCATAGATATAAATTAGGTAAATCAGATCTTTTCCATTCACAGTTAAAGATTAATACAATTTACTAAGAATCAAACAATTCATGTACCTTATTACCTGATTATTGAACCTATTCAATAGATGGGCTACATAAGCATGCAGAAATTCAAGAATTTGAGGAATTTAAATGTAAAGGATCAAGATCACCCAATTCACTCCATTCGGATGCTTTTGGTAAACCAGTGGCTGGGAGAACACAAAGAAGAACCATAGAATTCTCTACAACTCAGATAGCACACAGTCGTCATAGCTTTCCCTTTAGACTGGGTCTACAAACACCCCAGTGGATCTGTACAAACACAGCTTGGTTTTAGATGTTACACCTATAATCTTAGCACATGGAAAGAGGTGCAACATTTATTCTAAGGCAGTATGAATACTAATGCAGTTCTCATGGTAGCCTGTGTCATATTCATGCATAATAAAATATTCACCCACTGGATTTCAGAAACAAATCATAACCTAAGATCACTCCTTAAGATCACTTAAGATCACTATGTAAGCATCTGCTATGTTTAGGTTACTATTTTGGTGGTCTTACCTGCAGTGGACAGATGCCAGAACCATCCCAATATGGTGCTCTGTAGCTAATTGCACATGTGTGAATCACTGGGGAATGGTCAAGCTTTTTTATTCCAGCTGCTGGAATACAAAAAGCAGACTATGAAAGCTGGTTTGCAACCACACCTGCCTCCCCCTCTTGAGCTCACCAACTATCTCAAGGTAGAAAAGCAGCTAAAGTTACATAGTTAGTCTGGCTGACAAAAAAGACAAAAGTCCATCCAGTTCAACCAAAAAAAAAAAAAAGTTATAATCCTATAGCCACAGTTGATCAACTGGATCAGAGGAAGGCAAAAATACCCAGCAAAGCATGATCCAATTTGCTCCTGCAGGGGAAAAATTCCTTCATGGTCCCCCAAGAGGCAATCGGATATTCCCTGAATCAACTTCACCTATAAATGTTAGTATCCAGGTATATTCTGTGTATCCAAGAAAGAATCCAGGCCTTTTTTAAAGCACTCCACTGAGCTGCCCAGAACCAACTCTTGAGGGAGTCTCTTCCAATTTTCACAGCTCTTACTGTGAAGAAACCTTTCCGTATTTTGAGATTAAATGTATTTTCTTCCAGACGTAAAGAGTGCCCCCTTGTCCTCTGATGACCTCAGGGTGAATAGCTCTACACTGAGTTCACTATATGAACCACTGATGTATTTATACATGTTGATCATATCCCCCCTTAATCTCCTCTTAGTAAGAGAGAATAAATTCAGTTCCTCTAATCTTTCCTCATAGCAGAGCTCTACCATGTCTCTTATCAGTTTGGTTGCCCTTCCCTGCACTCTCTCCAGTTCCCCAATGTTCTTTTTGTGAATTGGCGCCCAAAACTGAACTGCATATTCCAGGTGAGGTTTTACTAAAGATTTGTACAGGGGTAAAATGATATCTCTCTCTGGAGTCTATACCTCTTAATACAAGAGAGGATATTGCTTGCTTTAGAAAACCGCAGCTTGACATTGCATGCCATTATTAAGCTTGTGATCTATCAGATCCTTCTCCACCATTGATTCCCTCAGTTGTACTCCCCCTAGTATGTATGAGGCATGCATATTCTTAGCCCCCAAGCGCATAACCTTACATTTATCAACTCAAACAGTGCATTGAGGTCGGCTTGTAAATTGGAGACATCTTGTAAGGACGTTATTCCACTGCAAAGCTTGGTGTCATCTGCAAAGATTGAAATGGTATTTTTAATCCTGGACCCTATATAGTTTATAAATATATTAAAAAGTAAGGATCCCAACACTGAACCTTGGGGTACACCACTAACAACCATAGGTGAGGGAAACTGTACACACAGCGCAGCTCTTTGTGCCTGAAGGTAACAATACACAGCAGTTGACTAAAGCCAGCCATAGATGGATCAAATTTTTTCCTGTCATGTATGGCCTGCCTAAGTCTGGAGCTTGAGCATTGGAATAGTTATATATTGTATTAGTTATAGTATTTTACTATTGATAAAACAATATATTTAGGGTGTGTTCTTGGTTTTTGCACACATATACATGTGCCTGTACATAAATTATACATGCATGGATGTTTTTACAATATACATATACACACATATACATACACATAGAGAAATATAGTTACAGTGGGGATCGAAAGTTTGGGCACCCCAGCTAAAAATTTGTATTAATGTGCATAAAGAAGCCAAGGAAAGATGGAAAAATCTCCAAAAGGCATCAAATTACAGATTAGACATTCCTATAATATGTCAACAAAAGTTAGATTTTATTTCCAATATTTACACTTTCAAAATAACAGAAAACAAAAAAATGGCATCTGCAAAAGTTTGGGCACCCTGCAGAATCTAAAGCATGCACTGCCCCCTTTGCCAAGCTGAGACCTGCCAGTGTCATGGATTGTTCTCAATCATCGTCTGGGAAGACCAGGTTATGTCAATCTTAAAGGTTTTAAATGCCCAGACTCATTTGACCTTGCCCCAACAATCAGCACCATGGTTCTTCTAAGCAGTTGTCTAGAAAACTGAAACTGAAAATAGTTGACGCTCACAAAGCTGGAGAAGGCTATAAGAAGATAGCAAAGCGTTTTCAGATGTCAATATCCTCTGTTCGGATGTAATTAAAAAATGGCAGTCATCAGGAACAGTGGGAAGTTAAAAGCAAGATCTGGAAGACCAAAGAAAAATATCAGACAGAACAGCTCGCAGGATTGTGAGAAAAACAATTCAAAACCCACGTTTGACTGCACAATCCCTCCAGAAAGATCTGGCAGACACTGGAGTTGTGGTACACTATTTCCACTATAAAGAGATACTTGTACAAATATGGTCTTCATGGAAAGAGTCATCAGAAGAAAACCTCTTCTACGTCCTCACCACAAAAATCATCGTTTGAACTTTGCAAATGAACATATAGACAAAGACTGATGCATTTTGGAAACAAGTTCTGTGGGCCAATGAGGTTAAACTGAACTTTTTGGCCGGAATGAGCAAAGGTACGTTGGAGAAGAAGGGACACAGAATTTAATGAAAAGAACCTCTGTCCAACTGTTAAGCATGGGGTTGGATCAATCATGCTTTGGGGTTGTGTGTTGCAGCCAGTGGCACAGGGAACATCTCACGAGTAGAAGGAAAAATGGATTCAATAAAATTTCAGCAAATTTTGGATGGTAACTTGATGCCATCTGCGAAAAAGTGAAGTTAAAGAGAGGATGGCTTCTACAAATGGATAAATGATCCTAAACACACCTCAAAATCCACGGGGGATTACATCAAGAGGCGTAAACTGAAGGTTTTGCCATGGCCTTCACAATCTCCTGACCTCAACATAATTGAAAATCTATGGATAGATCTTAAAAGAGCAGTGCGTGGCAGACAGCCCAGAAATCTCAGAGAACTGGAAGACTTTTGTAAGAAGAATGGCAAAGATACCTCAAACAAGAATTGAAAGAACTCTTGGCTGGCTACAAAAAGCGTTTACAAGCTGTGATACTTGCCAAAGGGGGCAGTACAAGATATTAACTCTGCAGGGTGCCCAAACTTTTACAGACGCCATTTTTTTGTTTTCTGTTATTTTGAAAGTGTAAATGATGGAAATAAAATCTAACTTTTGTTGACATATTATAAGAATGTCTAATCTGTAATTTTGATACCTTTTGGAGATTTTTTCCATCTTTCCTTGGCTTCTTTATGCACATTAATACAAATTTTTAGCTGGGGTGCCCAAACTTTCGATCCCCACTGTAGTAGCTACAGGATAGTCTGACTCTCTTGCTATATACTACAAATTCACTAGTCACTACAAATTTAGGTTATGTAAAAATGTCACCTTCTGTCAATGAATACAACAGTGTTCACCACTAATGTCTGTACTTTATGCATTAAAACACTTCGGGACCCTGCATTCCTGTCTGTTTCTTACTCCTGACTGTTGCACTCCATTTCACTCCTAACCCATGTACTCTGTGCATTATTTATCATTGACCCTGGGCAGAGTAGGCTCAGGCTTTATTCAACCACACCCTCTCTCTCATCTTCCTCTTATACTGTCCCCAATCCATCTTCTGAACAAAGCCTTGAGGCAAGCTGCACACAATGCAGTTTGGTGTTTTGCTAGAAAGGTTTTTTTTTCTTGGGAAGTCCATGTGATCAGCACAGGGCCAATCAGCGCTGTCCAGACAGAGTCAGGGGTTATGCAGCCTCAGAGGACATCAGAGCAGAATGAAAACTCCATCCTGCAAGCTTTACCATTGCTCAGCTGGACACTGATAGAAGTCACAATGATGCTACTGGTATACACTGCTAATGAGAAAAGATATTTAGCAGTTTGTATTTACTTAAAATAATTGCATTTACCATGTTCTGTGTACTGTGGTAGAGACCAGATAAAGTGAATGCAGAAGCATGTGTTTAGTAACACTTTATGGCACATTTGGAACTGTTTGGCCACACTCATAGTTTGTATTTAAAACTTGATTGTCTGCCTCTTGTTCCAAAGGTCTGTGACCAAGTGTATGGAGGTGTTAAAATGGGCAGGTGATTTCCATAGGTGTGGCTACAACCAGAGCATTTTTTTTTGAGTGGTGATGTCAGTAGCCTTTCCCCAGATTTAATTTTAAAAAGTTTGGTAACCCTATTCAATGTGTATGTTTTAATAACCTTTAGTCCTTTAACTGATTGGCTCAGTATTCATCCATAGATGAAGAAAAACTTCCTGCGCTCAAAAGACAAGTTAAGGCATAAGTGGGCCAAGGTTCTTCAACATTTCCATTTATTCCTATCGGGCAAAGCAATGC